ATTTCGCCAGCCAGGGCTGGCTAAATGAGGGCAGGCGGCGGGGCGACATCGCCAGCGCGTCGCCAGCCCCCATGACTGACATCGCCAATATTTTGAGGAGAAATGGCCAATTTTCCCCAGGAACTTCACTCCATAGTGTTAAACAAGCGCCAGCTTGCTGGGGGCTTCGCCCCCAGTCCCCCAAAAGGGAGGCAAGTGCCGACAAAGCAACAGCGGCGCCGCATGTGGCCGCTGCGCTGTGCCAGGCGCAAGGGTGGCTCCCCCGCATTTCGCTAATCCTCAATGTGCCATCGCCAGCTGATTGGCGAAATTTGGACGCGACAGCAGTCCTCATCGCCCGCCCATCGCCAAAGCTGCCACGAGGGCCAGAAACACTGCCGTGCAGTCATGCCCTCGCCAGACTGGCTGCCGCCCCCACCCTGTGTGAAAGGCCTGAACTGGCCTAACATGTTGCCAAGGAACTTGCAGAGTGGATGGGTAAACCATCAAATGCTCAGCTGTCGGAACTCTTTGCCAAGTGTCGGAGGCTCAGAGAACAAGGCAAGGAGCGGCGGCACACTAAAGCGACACAGCAAACACACGCAGGGCATGGTCATCAGAGCAAGAGGCCAGGTGGTAGTGCGACGGGCCACCAGATCTCTGCTCCTCCTCGCTTCGCCGCCAGCACAGGCGCCGCACTGCCGCAGCATGCCGTTCAAACTGAGACGAGTGCCAGACCAGCTGGTGCCTGTAAAAGGTTGGCTCCTGCTGCTGCTGGGGCTGGGCATCGGGCGTGCTGCTGGCATCAGCAACCAGTTGCAGCAGCTGCAGAGCGCCACTCTCCAGGCCGGCAGCCAGGTAGTAGCTGGTGCCTGGCCGGCAGACAGGGGCAAACTGCACGCTGCGCACACTGTCGCCGCACTCGATGGTCGCAACAGGCGCCGACGGCAGCGCTGCTGCTGGGGCGCTGCCGTTGCTGCCGGCCTCGCTGGCCGCTGCTGCGCTAGAAGCGCCCAGCCTCCACACCTTGACTGCAACAGGGGGCGGGCAGGCAGAGAGGAAGGCAGGCAGGCAGGCATGACGTGAGTGCCCTGCCACCATATGGTCGCGCAGCAAACAACCCAACCCATTGCAAGCTGCGTACGGGGCCTGCCCCAGCACAGCATCCACCACAGACAGCCAGCACGCCCCTCCCCTGGCTCACCCTTGCCGTCCCGGGAGGCTGTGGCCAGCAGGCGGCCGTCGGGGGACCAGTGCAGGGCCCACACGATGCGGGTGTGCGCCTTGATGCGCCCCACCAGGCGGAAGGCCGCCGCAGCCGCCTCGGGGGCGCCAGCCCCGCCTGCGGTGGCCGGCTGCCGCTCAAAGACCGCCACTGTGCGGTCGCGGGAGGCGGATGCCAGCCAGCGGCCATCCGGGCTGAAGGCCAGCTGCGTAACTGCAGGGCAGAGCAGAGCGGCAGCGGCAGGTGCCCCAGTCGGGATGGCAAGTGGCAGGTGGGCAGTGTCCTGGCAGTCATCAAGGTGCACCACAGCCTGGAGACATGCCTGGAAGAGACATGCCTGCCACCCAGCGGTGCCTGCCACCCATGCCGCCTGCAGCGCTGCCCTGGCTGCCACCGCCTGACCGCCATGCCAACAGCCCACCTGTCAGCGTGTGGGTGTGCAGCTGGGCGCAGCCCACCCACTTGCGGGTGTCCCACAGCCAGATGGCGGCTGCGTCTGCAGACTGGGCGCGGGAGGCGGAGGCGAGGTACCGCCCCGCGGGGTCTGCGGTACGTGTGGCGGCACAGAGGGCGGCGCAGAGGCACGGCAGTCACAGGGCGGTTCGGCATCAGCGGGGGCGGTGCACACGAAACGAGAAGGAACAAGAAGCAACAAGAGCAGGCAGGCGACCGCCTGCCGACCACCCGCATCCCATCCCCCCCACTCGTACCGCACCTGCCGCCAGGCAGTACAGGTCGTTGCCGTGGCCGTACAGCTTGTGCACCTCTGGCCACAGCGTGTTCTGGCACAGGTGCTCCTCCAGAGGAGGCCCCGCCACCGCGCTGGGAGCCGCATGGGGGGCCAGGTCTGGGCCGTCGGCATACATCGCCGCACCCGTGGCCGCCACCCCTCCGCTCTGGCCCACCCCAGCCGCAGCCCTATTGCCTGCCTGCTGCTGCTGCCCCTCCTCCCCGTCCTCCTGGTACACCGCCTTGTTGGAAAGGCCCAGAGCGGGGAGCAGCGCGCCCAGCACGGCACCTCGCGCGCCGCCGCCGCCGTCCGGCCTGCCGCGCGCCATGGCCAGGGTGTCTGTGAAGGCGCGGGGCGCCTCAAACACGCGCACCACCTTCTCCTCGCTGCCGCTGGCGTACAGGTACCGCTGCCGCCCCTCCTCGCAGGCGGCCGCCGCCGGGCCTGCCGCTGCATTGCCAGCCTGGCGGGCAGCTGCCGCGCCCGGGTGCTGGCCTCCCGCGCCGGCGCCCGCGGGCAGGGCGGCCACGGCAGCAAAGTCGTGGCCGTGCACCTGCGGGCGAGCAATCTCGCACCAGTGGCCGCCGTGCATGCGGGTGGTGATGCGCGCGGTCTGGTCGGCGCTGACGGTGAGCAGGCAGGCGCCGTCGGCAGCCCAGCAGGCGTCCACGACTGCAGCCAGGAGTGGCGGCCAGCCTGCTCACACGTCCATGCTGTGAGCAGCACAGGCTGCTGCGGCTCCCTTGCCCCTCCCTGGTGCTGCTGGCCGGCGTGCCTGATGAGCTGCTTGCAGCTCCATGGAGCAACACCAGCAGCGGCAGCAGCGGCAGCCCGGCACCACCCGCCCGCCACCCACCCGGCCCAAAGTGCCCGCCCAGCGCGTGCTGCGGCAGCCAGCCGCCGCCGTCGGGCTGCCGCCGCCAGATGTGGAGCGCTCCGGTGAAGCCGTGGGCGGCGATGGCGGCGCCGCCGGGGCCCCACCCGCCGCCATAGTACCCCAGATGGTTGGCCCCCGCATCGCCCACAGACTCCTCGCCCATCCACAGCCCTGGGAGCAGAGCGGCAGAGCAGGAACATGTGGGCACAGGTGCGGGACACAGAGCGTGACTGCCCGCCAGCACATCAGCAGCACAGCGTCATCATGCATGTCGGGCAAGCAGCACCGGTGAGGAGATGCCAGGATGCAGGTGTGACGGTGAGTGGGCAGGGATGTGAGTGCCAGCCAGCCGCGGCAGGGCCACAAGGGGCAGCAGGCCGGTGGCGGCGGCACGCAGCCAGCGTGGCTGGCCGCGAAGGTTGCTGTGGCGCTGCTTTTGACGGCATGCTCGACCAGGGCAGCGAGCACGCTGCTTCGAACAGCGCAGAGGGCGAGGCAGGGCGGGGTGGTGCAGGCGCTGGTGCCGGGAAGCAGGCAGCCAAGCCACTCAATGGGATTCTTCAGGCACAGCAATAGAAGCAGCCCCAGCAGCTGCAGCAGGACAACCGCGGTATTCAGCCCCACCACTCCCATAACAACCTTCCTTCCCACCCACCCACTCACCAGTGGCTGCGTCTGGTCGCCAGATCATCATCGTGCGATCCATGGATGCAGTGAGCAGGCAGGCGGGGCGGGTGGCAGTGGCGCCGCCGCCGTCGCCGCCGCCGAGCCCCGCAGCCGGCGGGTGCCACGCCACCGAGTGCACCCAGTCCTCGTGCCCCACCAGCAGCGCCTCCAGGGTGGCGGCGTAGGTGTGCCGCCCGGCGTGGATGGCCGGCTTGGGGGCGTAGCGGGTGAGGCGCTGCGCCAGCGAGGCGGGGTCCGCGGCGCCGCTGCTGGCGGCGCAACCGCCGTTGCCGCTGGCGTCTGGCTGCTGCCGCGTGACGGCCCACACGCGCACGTTCTTGTCCTGGGAGGCGCTGGCCAGCAGCAGCTTGCCGTCTGCAGGGGCGGGGCAGAGGGTAGGGGGCGGGTGCCGTTGACGTTCAGGCTGAGTGGGCGGCGCCGCAGCAGCCTGCAAGCTCTGCTTCTGCTGCCCAACACAGCACAGCACAGCACAGCATAGCATAGCACAGCACAGCACAGCGCAGCGCAGCGCAGCGAGGCGGTAGCTCACCCTCAACCTGCGCAAAGTCCAGGCCCCGGACCCAGTCCTGGTGCCCCTCCAGCCTGCACACCGCCGTAAACAGGCCGCCGGGCGGGCAGCAGTAGAGGCGCACGCCGCCATCCACGCCGCCCAGCGCCAGCAGCAACCAGGCGGGGTCTCCAGGCAGCGGCGCCAGCGCGGAGCAGTGCTGCAGCTGGTGGCCCAGAGGGATGCGCTGGCGCAGGCGCCACGCCTCCTGCCCCAGCGCCTGCCCCGCGTCGTCGCTGCTGGCGGTCGCCGCGTCGCGCTCCCACACCACCGCCTCGGCGTCGCCCGCGGTGCTGACCAGCAGCAGGCCGCCGTTGCCCGTGTCGTGGATGGTCACAGAGGTGACGGGAGCGGTGTGTGCTTGCAGCGTGGCTGCCAGGCGCCAGGGCTGGTGCGGCGTGTGGGGAGTCCACAGCCAGAGGCGCACGGTGCAGTCGCCCGAGCCAGAGGCCAGCGCCGCGGCCGCTCCGTGGCCCGCTGGCAGCCAGCGCACGCAGGTCACCACGTCGGTGTGCCCCAGCAGTGTGCCCAGCACCCTTGCCTCCTGCAGGCAGGAAAAGGGTGGACAGCCAGCTGCCTCGGCACCTGAAGCAGCAGCACAAACAGCGGCAGTGGCAGCAGCGGAGGCGGCAGCGGTGGTGGCGGCAACCTGGGCGCCGCCCTCTCACCTCTGGGTGGTACACCGCCACCGCGTTGTGGGCTCCGTAGGCTAGCAGCCCGCTGCCCTCGCCCCAGTGCAGCGCATGAACCACTCGGTTGCAGCCCACCCCCACATGATCGAGCTTGACGCTGGCGTCTGCTGGCAGGCGATCTGCCTGGGTGCTGCTGTGCATCGCAAAATCTCCGTGGCGGTAGGAACTCCTATCAGTGTGTGCCTGGCATGTGAGGGCGCTCACATGGAGCCATGCACACCGGCAGCGTGTCCCGCAATGCCGGATCGTGTGGCACAATGCACTGAGGCGCCACAGGCGAAATGCACATGCAATTTTCTAGCCAGCGTGGCGATTTTGTCCTATGCCGGCGGAAACCATCATGCATGCAACCTCTCTTCGCTTCGGTAGACCCTTCAAACCACCTCAGAGTCGGTGAGAAGCGCAGGGCAGCCCCCCAGTTCTGTGCAGCGGGAAGGTCAGTCGCCATGGCGTTTGCAGGCGGCTTTGAAGGCGGCGACCCTTACGCACACTTCTATGGAGCGCAACCGCACTATGCATATTATGCGCCGCCGCCCCAGCCAGCCCCAGTGCCGCAACCAGCAGCCGGTAAGCGGGTCGTCGCTGGAGCGCGCCTGAGCTCCGCTGGGCGGCTGGGAGTGTCCCTGGGGCCCTCGAAGGGCGCCTGACGGGCGCCAGCCGCATTGCGGCCTCCCCTGCGCCTACGAGCCGCCGGCGCTTTGCCGCCCTGTGTTGGGGGCGGGTCCGTCCCGCCGCTTCTGAAAGCTGTGGGTGGATTGTGGTGCAGACGAGGTCAGGACGGTGTTCATCAGCGGCTTCCCCGAGGACGTGAGGGAGCGTGAGCTGAACAACATGCTGCGCTTCCTGCCCGGCTACGAGGTGTGGCGGCGGCCGCCCGGTGCTGCCGTGCTTGCGGACCGGGACCTCGCGCTTTAGGCCAGTCCCAGGATTGCAAATTTGTCAGTGCCCTCGCAGCCTGCCGCGAGAGAGAGACACTCGCCCCTCGCCTCTCTGTCGCCCCTCCCGCCCGCCCGCAGGCCTCCCAGATGCACTTCCGCAACGGCCAGGCGCAGGGCTTTGCGCTGTTTGCTAGCGGCAGCCTGGCGCGCGCCGCCGTGGACGCCATCCAGAACCTGGTGTTCGACAACGACTGCGTGCTGCGCGCCGAGATGGCGCACAAAAACATGTGCGCACGGCGCCGCGGCGCGGCCTGCCGCGGTCCGGGGGCTGCGCCGCACGATCGTGCCGCTGCTGTGCTGCGGTCCTGCTGCTCAGGACTATTTGCAGACACATGTTGCTGTATGCTGCTGCCGACTGGGCCGCACGTTGCTGCCCGCCTGCCCGCCCGCCTGCCCGTCCCGCAGGTATCTGAAGGACGACCCGGCAGCCGCCCCCAAGCGCAGCCGCCCCAGCAGCTACGAGGCTCAGCCGCCGCCCAGCTACGGCGGCTACCAGCCCGCGGCGGCGCCCGCGCCCGCGCCCTTTGCCCACGCCGGCTACGGCGGGCTGGCGGCGGCGCCGGCGGCGGTGGTGGCGGTGCAGCCGGTGCAGCCGCGCGGCTACGCCCCCATCTCCAACACCAAGGACAACCCGCCCTGCAACACGCTCTTCATCGGCAACCTGGGCGACAGCGTGAGCGAGGCGGAGATGCGCGGCCTGTTCGGGTGAGGGCAGGGGGGCGGAGGGTGCTTGTGCGGGGGGCCTGGGGGGACGAGGCTGGGAGATGCCTGCAGGCTGGCGCTGTTTTCGTACACTGTTGTTTTGGTACACTGTTGTGCCTCGTTGCGGCCGGCAGGGCCTGGAGGCCCTCGCCTCGTGCCCTCACTCTCCCGCCCCGCGCGGCCACTGCCGCCGCCCGCCCGCAGGCACCAGCCCGGTTTCCAGCAGCTGAAGCTGGTGCGGGGCCAGAAGGGCATGTCGTGCTTCATCGAGTACGCCGACATCCCCACAGCCATGGCGGTGCACGACGCGCAGCAGGGCGCCATCCTCTCCTCCTCTGACCGCGGCGGCATCCGCATACAGTACAGCAAGAACCCGTTTGGGCGCAAGCGCGACGCGGCGGGCGCGTTTGTGGAGGCTCCCGCCGGCGTGGTGGGCGCGGCGCAGGCCGCCGCGCAGGCGGCAGTGGCGGGCACGCAGCTGGGGGCGGGGGGAGCGGGCGCGGCCACGCTGCCGCAGCCGAAGGCCGACCCCGGCGCCGGCTTTGCAGATGGCGGTGCAGCAGCGTACAACGGTATGTGGCCGGGCAGGTGCCTGGCAGTCGCGGTGCACCTGGTGTGTGTCGCTTGGGTGCAATGCAGGAGCTCGCTTCCCCTGCCGCGCGGCGTGGTGCACAACCAGCTCTGCTGCTGGGTGACCTTGCATGCAGGCGGCGGGCAGCTCCAAGCGGCAGCCCAGACGGCGCCGCCAGGCAGCTAGCGGCTGCCCCCGGTGACTCAGGTGTGCACTTGCGTGAGCAGCCTCAGTGCACTACATGGCACAGGATTGGTGCCCAGCTGTGCGCCTGCTGCACTGATCTGCACCTGCATGCTGCACCTCGCAGGCGTGCACCCACGCACACGCCGATCGCCGCCCCGCATCAAGCATCTGCACAGCGGCACCTCGCACCTTGCACCACCGCACATGCGCTGCATGCGCAGCAGCACTCAATGCCACCCCAGTGCACCATGCACGCAACCTGGCCAGATGAGCACTGCTTGCGGAGGTCACTTGCCCGCCTCACCCCAATCCCTGTAGCTACCTGTTTCGCCCCTCCCTCCTACCACCCTCCTTTTCCAGCCCCCGTACTGCCTTGCTTATTGACCGCGACTGACCTCTGCGACCCACCTCCAGCAGCCTGCTGCAAGAATCCTCTGATGCACCCTGTGGCCCACGGGGCTGCCTGGCCCAGCCCCAGCCTCTCACAGCAGCACGCCACGCCGCGCCGCTCGTTTTCATTCGCTGCTGCTCGCTTTACAGCACAGCGAGGGAGTGGTCAAGTTCATTCGGTAGTGGGGATGGGGGGAGGGTTCTGTGGGAGGATTGACAGGGAGCAAGGGTACGGATGGAATGAAATGGAGTGCGGGCCCTTCCATGTGGCACTGTAGGGAGGGATGAGGGTGCAGCAGGGTGGGTGGCGACCAGGTGAGGAGGTAGAATCCTGGAGGTAACTCAATCAGCGCTTGCGAGCGCAGGAATCGGGTGGCAGGGCAGCGGTGGGTTGGCGAGGAGGTAGAATCCCCGACACACAGCGCTAGCGTGCCAGCTGCCTCCGACGCACGCAGCGCAAAGAATCGGCGGGAAGGGGAGCAAGTAAGCAACTGGGGCAGGGACGTCCCCCAAGGGCAGCAACCTAGGAGAGGAAAAGAGGGAGGACAGGGGGACAGCTCTGCAGGGCCTGCCCAGGGGGCGACGGCACGGGGGCAGTTCGGGCACATACAACGGCGGACACGCTCAAGTAACTGTGGCTGGTGGGTGGGAGGCGCGGCATGGCAGCCCCCGCCTCACGCCTTGAACTCCAGCATCATGTTGTTCTCGGGCGGCAGGCCCACACACGCGCGGAAGATGTTCTGCATGCCAGCACAGGGGTGCGCAAGTAAGTGAGGGTCGCCTGGCCCCGGGCAGGCAGCATCGCAGGCGCCACCGCTGCCGGCCGGCCGGGCCAGCTGCCAGCAGCGCGGCTCCACCGGGCCCGCCGCCAGCGCTGGCGCCCCGGCCTGCGGGCGCGCACCTCCAGCATGGCGCGCTGCTTGGCCAGGGCGTTGACCACGGGCGTGCCCGCGGGCACCAGCGGCGCCTTGGTGAGGTAGGACAGCAGCACGGCGACGGGGTGGAAGCCGCGCAGCGCCGCCTCTCCGTCCTTCTTCAGCTGGATGCGGGTGACCAGCTCCGCCAGGATGACGAGGTCCATGACGATGGGGGCAGCCAGCAGCGAGTCCTGCACACGGGGGTGTGGTGGTGTGGTGGGGTGTGTGGGGCAGGCACAGGCGCCGGGGAGAGGCGCCGGGTGAGGGGCCCGCAGCGGGGTTTCCGTGGCACGGCGTGGCCTGCCTCCCCTCCACGCCCCAGGCAGCCCCCACCCCACCCCACCCCAACACCCACCCACCTCGCAAGTGTTGTGCATGACGATGGTGTTGCGCCCTCCCATGAAGATCTCGGACGTGTACTCGTCCATGGCGCGCTTGGAGTCGGCCACGTAGGGAACGTACTTGATGACAACCACGTGGTCGGGGTGCTCGCCGGGACTGCAGCCAGGGCGGGGCGCGGGCGGGGCAGACAGGTCGGCCTCGGCCTCGGCCTCGCCGCCGGCACGCCCTACCGCCGCTGACCGGCGGGCGGGCTGCTGGGTGGCACCCGCAGCGCGCCAGCTGGCCAGCGGCGGCCGGGCGTGCCGGCGGCGAGGCCGAGGCCGAGGCCGACCTGTCTGCCCCGCCCGCGCCCCGCCCTGGCTGCAGTCCCGGCGAGCACCCCGACCACGTGGTTGTCATCAAGTACGTTCCCTACGTGGCCGACTCCAAGCGCGCCATGGACGAGTACACGTCCGAGATCTTCATGGGAGGGCGCAACACCATCGTCATGCACAACACTTGCGAGGTGGGTGGGTGTTGGGGTGGGGTGGGGTGGGGGCTGCCTGGGGCGTGGAGGGGAGGCAGGCCACGCCGTGCCACGGAAACCCCGCTGCGGGCCCCTCACCCGGCGCCTC